CGGCCGGAGCGGGGTCGGGGCCGGGCGGCGTGGAGACAGCTGTAAACCCTTGAAAGCGCTGCGGTCCGGGAGGCCTCGGGGTAGACAACACCCCTTTTCCTTTTTCTTCGCCTTTTACTTACAAGAGAGCTGCGCCCTGTGAAGCTGGCTCATTGCCCTTTGTTTTTTTCTCAAGTCGAGTGGAGAATCTACACTTAAAAGTGTAAATAGGGAGGCGCCAGGAGGAGTTAAAGTTAAAATTCAGGGTCTTGGTTGAATTCTGTGATGCTTACTCAGTCATGGGCATTCAGTAAATCCTAAGTGAATGAATTTAAGGTAGTGAATTTCATGGCTGCCAGATGTTTAATAGGAGTCATGATTTTTGGAAAGAAAAATGGAATTGACGTTGAAATTGACCAGGGGCGGAATGGTGTTTCATCTCTCAGACCTGTAGTTTAAAGGAATAATTTAAAAGTTTTCTTTTTTTTTCTCCCAAAGAAACCAGCTCTTTAATTTTAAAATTTACATCAAAGGGGAGTGTGTGAGTCACCAAATGTTTCTCCTGCCCTAGGTAATCCTAGTGCAGTAGAAACTGCACTGTGATGGAAGTCACCGGTTAACTCGTTTGCTGAGGAGTGGAATAAATGTCTTTTGCTTTTTTTTTTTTGGCATCACGTTGTGTGTGTGTTATGTTTTTGATGAAATACATTCATAGACTTTTTGGTATTGATGCCTTTCATTGTGAAGGATAACATCTGACTTTGAAGCTTCCTGTGATTTTTTTCTTCTTTGAATGATGTGACTGTTCTGATTTATTTTCAACAAAGTAGAAATATTATCAACAAATAGACTTCGAATGTTTTCCTGTATCTGAAATATTTAGTGGAAATCGGAGATGGAATTTGAAGCAGCACTCTCAGGTCTGTGGCTGAGGTCGGCATTTATGTTGTAGAGTCCCCTGGAGATGACAGTGGTTGCCTGGGAACTTGAGCCTCTCTGGTCTTTTGTTTCTGCTAGAGGATTGAAGATGTGGTGAGAGAGACTTCTCCTTGTGGTGTGACCTTGGGACCCAGAGTTGACTAAGAAAGCCCTAGTCTGGTTTCTCCTGTGCCATGATTTCTCTGTAGAAACACAAACGGTCGTGGTGGCTGGGGGTCTTGGTGGCTGGAGGTTATGTCTTGGCCAACCTTGTTATCCTCTCTCATGTTCTCTTTTTCAAATGTTTCATCAGATGAACTAATTGTTGGCAAACAGCCTTATTAAAAATACTCAGGTTAACTAACACAAGCCTACAGTACGTTTGGCGATTATCAAAAGTTACAGTAGAAGTCTAGTAACGTTTAACATGCATACATTTCTCCAGATACAAAGGCTACATAGAGACCCAGGAAGGAAGGAATAATCCCTGCAGTAAGTTTTCTGTCTTCCAAGATCGTTCTGTTCCAAGCAGACAGAGGCAGACGTTTTTTGGAAGTTTTTGTTTCTGCCTTCTCTTATGCTTTCCTATGGAAACTGTTGTTTTGTTTTCCCTGCGTTTGTGCCCGTTGAAAGAAAAAGTTAACATTTCTTCTCACCAAGAGGAGAGTATCCCTGAATTACTCAGAGGAAGCGTTGAAGCTGCCTTGCTTGTTCACGTTGGAGGACTGTAGGACTGGAAGGGGCCCTGGTGATTCCCTTAAGTGTCTTGTTCCAGAGCAGTGGAGCTGTTAGGGCTTCTTTCAAACTAAAATTTCCTAGTCTGCTTTTCTTTATTTCCTCTGAGGCAGCTCACTAGGAATACGCTCTCTGTACTACTAACTCTGTGCTGCCTCATCAGACAGTCTTACTGTTGGTAAGACTGTGACATTTTCCTGGCCTGCTTAAAGCTTGAATCCACTTAAGCCTGAGAAGAGACACTGTCCACGTTGTGGTGGGTGTGCTGTCCCTGTTAACTCTCTTAGCAGTTGCTACGAGTTTGGACTGTCATCTGGGTCGCTTTGCCTTAGAGCTTCTGTTAAAACAGAAATGACTAGCGTTGTATCATAGCAGTCACCGAGACCCCCAGAAGACCACAGTTCTGAAAGGGACTGTAGTAATGCTTTGTTTATCAGATGGCCCTTGTGTTTTAACACATGGCATTGCGGTGAGGGGGGAGCCCTGGAAGCTTCCACTGGGCTCCAGAGTTCTGGTCCCAGCCTTTTCACTGTCCGCGGTGTGATCTTGAGCTGCTATCTATGTCTTTGGCTTCAGTTTTCTCCTCTGAAATACTAGGGTTTCTTTGGATTCCCTCAGTGATTTGTACCGAATTAATGAAACAACATGTATTTTTAAACTGCATGTGGCTCAAATTTCAAAAGGTACAGAATGATATTCAGGGAAAAGTGTGTCGTCTTTTCTCATTGTCTCCATGTCAGTTAGTTCACTGGTAGGTTTCTTAAGGGGGCCTTGCAGAGATGCTCTGTGTATTACATAATCTCTTAATATTCCTTTCCCACTCTTAAAATGTGATGATTTTGAGTTTTAGAGTAGAAGACGATAATCCAGACTCTTTTCAGAAGCAAAGGAAATCTTCATTCTTTGATCAAAAAATGGAGAGGTGCAAGATCGTGCTCTAGAGCACACGCTCTTAATCCAAACTCTTATATCTACTTTCATCATGGACAAGACAAGATGTATTTTCAGGATATGAACCTTGGTTACTTACAGTTCTAATTTTTTTCTGTGATAATTAATGTATGGAAAATAAGGCTTGTAAGAAGAAAACAAGAGTTATTTTTCAAATGAGCTTCCTGAAGAATAAATCATTGCTCTTTAGCTTTGCTGGAAGAAACTTCGATATATTTATAGTTTGCCTTTGATTTTAGGCTTTAGAATGAAGCAAGTTTAATAGAGGGTTGACTTGTTTTCCTATTGAAATAGAGTGTGATTTTGTTACGGCAATTTGATATGTCACGTAAGCCAGAGGCAAAGCAGAGAGAGGTGTTTTGACTGAGCAAAGTTGGCAAGCTGTGTTTTTAAAAAGCGAAGATCTGTCAGGATAAAATGATCAGTAACAGTAACTGACATTTGTGTATCCTTTGCAGTGTTCATAGAGCTTTCATGTACATGACCTCTTCTGAGCTTCACAACTCCAGAGAAAGCAGGGCTGGTGTCATTATCTTCGTTTTATAGAAGGGGAATTTAAGGCTCAGAAAGGGTGTGCCACAGCTAAGGTTGCAGGATGGGCAGATGATGTAGTCAAAGCTAAAATCTGGAAGTAAAACCA